ATATAGTATTAAGGTACTGTATGTGATGAATGTAAATATTCATTAGTGTACATTATATAATATAAAGGTACTGTATGTGATGGACGTATATATTTATTAGCGTACATTATATAGTATAAAGGTACTGTATGTGACGGACGTATATATTCATTAGTGTCATTATATAGTATTAAGGTACTGTATGTGATGGACGTATATATTCATTAGTGTACATTAAATAGTATAAAGGTACTGTATGTGACGGACGTATATATTCATTAGTGTACATTATATAGTATTAAGGTACTGTATGTGATGGACGTATATATTCATTAGTGTACATTAAATAGTATAAAGGTACTGTATGTGATGGACGTATATATTCATTAGTGTACATTAAATAGTATAAAGGTACTGTATGTGATGGACGTATATATTCATTAGTGTACATTATATAGTATTAAGGTACTGTATGTGATGGACATATATTTCATTAGTTTACATTATATAGTATAAAGGTACTGTATGTGATGGACGTATATATTTATTAGCGTACATTATATAGTATAAAGGTACTGTATGTGACGGACGTATATATTCATTAGTGTACATTATATAGTATTAAGGTACTGTATGTAATGGACGAATACATTCATTATTGTACATTAAATAGTATAAAGGTACTGTATGTGATGGACGTATATATTCATTAGTGTTATTATATAGTATAAAGGTACTGTATGTGATGGACGTATATATTCATTAGTGTACATTATATATTATAAAGGTACTGTATGTGATGGACGTATATATTCATTAGTGTACATTAAATAGTATAAAGGTACTGTATGTGTTGGACGTATATATTCATTAGTGTACATTAAATAGTATAAAGGTACTGTATGTGATGGACGTATATATTCATTAGTGTACATTAAATAGTATAAAGGTACTGTATGTGATGGACGTATATATTCATTAGTGTACATTATATAGTATTAAGGTACTGTATGTGATGGACATATATTTCATTAGTTTACATTATATAGTATAAAGGTACTGTATGTGATTGACGTATATATTTATTAGCGTACATTATATAGTGTAAAGGTACTGTATGTGACGGACGTATATATTCATTAGTGTACATTATATAGTATTAAGGTACTGTATGTAATGGACGAATACATTCATTATTGTACATTAAATAGTATAAAGGTACTATATGTGATGGACGTATATATTCATTAGTGTCATTATATAGTATAAAGGTACTGTATGTGATGGACGTATATATTCATTAGTGTACATTATATAGTATAAAGGTACTGTATGTGTTGGACGTATATATTCATTAGCGTACATGATATAGCATAAAGGTACTGTATGTGATGGACGTATATATTTATTAGCTTTTATTATATAGCATAAAGGTACTGTATGTATTAAACGTATGTATTCATTAGCGTACATTATATAGTATAAAGGTACTGTATGTGATGGACGTACCGGAACCCTCCGTTGGTTTACTCAGGAATCCAGATTGAAATATTTGTGAACAATCAAGTGGCAGAAAAGTTTCGTGAGTAATTTATTAATACTTTCTGCGCCTGAGATTGAACATGTCACTTTTTCAATGTTCATGAACGCCAGGAAAAGACTCAACATCTATTATTTAAAACTAGGAATTAAATTGTTATCACACTTTTAAATGTATTGATGAAATGTAAATAAGCCAATCAATAGCACTAATACTAATACATTATTTTGTCATCATCGTTGCCCACCTGACATTACCATTCCCCCCCGCCCTAAACTTTATCTGTCACCACAGACCTTCACTTGGTCCTATTATTTAAAATAATATACTATTTTGTTGATAAATAATTTTTTCTGATAAATCTAAAACACATTTTTGTTAATATTGTTAAATTATACCCTAAACTTTATCTGTCACCACAGACCTTCACTTGGTCCTATTATTTAAAATAATATACTATTTTGTTGATAAATAATTTTTTCTGATAAATCTAAAACACATTTTTGTTAATATTGTTAAATTATTATTTTCAAGAGAGAAGCATTCAAAAATTATAAAAATGTGCAAGCTTATTTTCCTGTACATCATTTTCAACATTTATTTAACTAAGGGGCCTGTTCATAAATTACGTAAGAAAAATTGACTCATTTGAACACTGTCACGTTCCATAAATTACAAAGGTCGTTTAAAAAAACACTTGTTTTTTTTATTTTGTATAAATCCTTAATAAAATGTGATTTCGAGCAATAGCCTATTGCATAGGGGGGTGGAGATGAAAATTTGACAAAACATGAATATAATTAATTGACTTTATAAGAATCCCAAATAGTGCTACCCCCCCCCCCTTTTCCCAAGCTCACAACTTCATATTTTTTCACACCCCAGAACCGCATTAATATCTAATGATCCACCCGCTTTTACACCGCATATTTATTTCACCAACTATTATTTAAAAAAACAGAGACTATTAAGCAGTTGCGATATTAAAAAAAAACCCCGCTCATTTAGCGTAGTTATCAGGAATTTTCTTTTGTGAAATCAGCGTCAGATTTCCTTCATCTTCCCTTTCTGATTTTTGGGTAAAAATTTGATAGAATGCACAGAGATTAATAAGACACGAAAAAATTGTGTCAATAGATCAATATAAGTTACGCTTTAATAATAATTATACATAATTAAACGTTTCGGCACATGCCTTCATCAGTACAAACAAACAAAACACATTTAAATAAGTATAAATTAAATGACATTCCTCAAGTCACACACACCAGTGCTTTTTTGCTCAGCATCCCTGCTGTATGTACATTTACATCACTCGAAATTTCAATGCTTGAAGTTTTTATTTCCAATCATGTCATTTAAGTTTGTTGGGCCATTCCCGGAAGAACTGCAATACCGGGCCGACCCGTGGCGAGAGCGGAGCAAGCCCCGGGCATCTCACACTCGAAATTTCAATGCTTGAAGTTTTTATTTCCAATCATGTCATTTAAGTTTGTTGGGCCATTCCCGGAAGAACTGCAATACCGGGCCGACCCGTGGCGAGAGCGGAGCAAGCCCCGGGCATCTCGCCTAGTTCCAAAAATCAGTTTAATATCGTAGTGACTCAATGAGCCACGTATCAGATATTAAGCTGATAAGAACAGATACTACACTTTGATCTTAGCCAAAAGGCCGAGAAGCGATAACATATAAGGCGAGGTCTGAGACCCCACTTCGACAACAAGTGAAATTAACTCATTGTTTTATACGTCTTACAAGTGACGTCAAGGAGTAATCAAAATTAAAAGTAATGTTATTCATTAAAAACAATAAAATACTTATTAGAATAGACAGTACTAAGAATAAAATTTCTAGTCATTATAAAAACAAAAATGAAATCTGCCTTGGAATAATTGTTGACTTCTGTAAATAATAAATTATAAAGATTTTTAAGTCCCTTGAAAAGCTTAAGCTTAGAATACTAAGAGTAAATTCCCCTTATTTACCCGTTAAACAAGAACTGTTTCTGTTCACTTTGACCATGGGTGTGTATTTTATTTACTATCTCCCTTAGTATTGACTGTGCCAAAAAGACGGAGCACTTTTCACAAGCCCTTCACTTACTTAACAAATTTAAAAAAATAAAAATAATTTAATTATTTAAGATATAGAAAAATATATATATTCTTGTAGACAAAAAAAATAAACCGACACAATCTTTATTTATCAAACTAAATCTCAACATTTTTGAAAATGAGATATCATCATTTTAATTTTTTTTTTGTTTTTGTTTACACTTTGAATAAAACTGTCTTACTTGCAGAATTTTATTAAACTGTGTGATTGTTAAAGCCTAAACAGGCCTTAACCCATATTTGAATGAGATTCAGTGTGGGAAAAACGCATAAAATATTGTTATATGAATCACTGAAATTATATTTGACAACCAGCATATGTTTCAATGTATCAATCTTCCGTTGCGATTTATCTAGTGTCCACATGTTGTTTTAATCAGAGAAAAGACTTACAGTGGGAGTATATGTCCATGTCAAGGGACAATTATGCTGTTCATCTGAAAATGTCTCAGGCCGGGACATTTCTTGACCTTTCGGGGACGTCGATACAGGTGATGGGCTGTTTCGAGTAAACCGGGACATCGCGTCATCGTACATAAAGTGATGCGTTTTGTTTTTTTAAATCAAGAGGTGGTTATATCCAACTTTTGCTTAACAAGTATATTATGAGCTAGTTATCCATTACAAGCAGCAAGTGACTTAACTCAACAAACCTTTACATTGTTTTTTTTTTCAAAATTCATTACTAGATAATTAATAACATAACAACTATAAAAATAAAAAATTTTATATTGCGATTCTGTTTTAATATATTATATATTTGATTAAATTAATTTATTCCGGTAAATTCAGGGTTGATGATAACTTCATCCCACTTTTCTCGGGATAAGTAAAACCTCGGGAAACCTGCAGAAGTGTAGATAAGCATTCTATGTCGCCAAGGGATAAGAATTGAATTTAGACTAAGGTTAAATGTTTTATTTTATCAATTTTTGAAAATGTTTTCTGCACAGTCTTTCTCCCATACTCGCCCACCCTTCTCCCACGGTTTACTAACCAAGCAGATGAACCATGATCAATTGAGTGATAGAGTCTCGCTTGTCAACGACAAATTACGCCGGACAGACAATTATACAAGATAGCTAGATGGAAATGCCAGTAGTAAGAAAGTCTTGAAAAATGTATTGCCCCCTACGACTGAGTACTGGACCGTGAATTACGATGTTTAGTCACTCATTTAGTGAGTCAAAACTCCTCGTCCTCATTGAAAAACGGATAACGGTACGATGAACTGATGTTGAGTGGTTAGGCTGCAAGCCTGATTTTATCGATTTGCCTTTGTTGTAAAAAAAAACAAAAAAAAAAAACAACAACAACTAGATATATGCTAACTGGAATATATACGATGCATTAAAAACATTTTGCAATTGAAATGTTTTTATTTTTGTTTCGTTGTACTGTGTAAATTTAACAATGTTTTTTATTTGCTGCAAAATGGCTGCCTCCATGAAAAGATTCATGTATTTGTAAACATGGTCACCTAATCAAGCCTAATGACATATTATAAGCATTGTTTGACCCATACTTTAAAAATGATTTAGAAATTAAAGTGCAACAATAATCGAGTCAACAAGTTGTTTCAGAAATTTTTTAATAGTTTCACCCAATCTAGGAGTACCGCTGCAACATTACACGACTGCAGTGTACACTACACTTACACAGATGTCGTCTGTCAATGAGGCTCAACAGGTGAATTGATAACGATAACTGATGAATTAATTAACTGAAAGCTAGGAGGAGGTCATATTTACCAATTATCAACTTTACATTACGGCTTTAGACATCGTTGACTGTACTGGTAGGCTAGTCAACAATGGATCCTCAAATTAAATCAAATTGTTAGACTGTTGTACTAATTACTAAAGCTTACTAAGGGATCATCCATGCCATAAAACATTAAAGTGTCTATTGGTAGTTTACATTAGTTTACTACCAATAGCTTCTAGTTAGGGCAGGGAACTATTTGTAGTAAACTAGCAATAGGTTCTAGAGAGCTATTGGTAGTCCAGCAAATCAAACCAAAATCAGAGCTTTAAATTAATTTAAAACGAAGTGTCTACACATCCGGCGCGCCGGACAAATAGTGCGCAAGATATACGTCCGGCGGCATGTCACGCTAGTAGATTTATTATTCCGAACGAAGTGCAGTTTGGTAGATCTTGCGTGGTTTAGTGTTAGAGCGGTTGCTTAATGACTTAAATGTTATTATGATTTGAGGATCAATACCGGGGCTAGGATCATGTTTTTTCTTCCCATTTTAATCAAAAATATTTTATACTATATTTATATTATCATGTTCATCAGCAACAGTAGTTTGATGAGAAGTTTTTAAATATTTTGTAGCAATTTAAACAATTTAAGATGAAATCGTTTACTTTTATTGGTTGCCTACTCCACACTGGCCCCTAATTTATTTTATGGATTACCGGTACACAAACTCAAATAACAAACAAAACAAAAATGTTTACAAGCCACTTTCACTTAAGTTTTTTTCTATTATTTGCGTTCAAGATACTAAGTACATTACTTGGTAGAGAAATAGATTTTAAAATTAACAAATTAATAACAATAGTTTTGAATCATTCGCAGTCACGTGACAAGGCTGACTGACAAGATATCTCTCACCACTTTGTTGCGGCGGTCATGTGGCTTGGTCGCCGGACAAATAGTGCAGGAGATATACGTCCGGCGCGCCTGACGTGTAGACACTGCCAATTTAAAAACCCGCTATCAATGACGCTGGCAAAATATTGCCTCGCCTCGTTCATTATTACTAATTCATACTAGTGACAACACCTTGGAACTAATTATAAATTCTACAGTACTGTTTTGGCTTTATTGTTATATAATTATAATTTATAATATAGACTTAATATAGATAGATGTATGAATATGATCATATTCTGAAAAAATATTACCCAGCTTCTTCTTTGCCAAGGCCAAAGTAATTATTATTATAAGTAAAGTGGTTTTATATAGCGTGGGCGTGGTATCCCAGCCTAGGCCCGGGCTCACCAAGCTGTACATACAATTTAACAAACATAATCATGAACTTAAAAAATTAATTAACATACATTAATGAAATAAAACAAAACAAATGTATATTTAAAACTATTTACATGTATTGTAAAGCAATGGACAACACCCAGCAGCATCGTTTTTCGGTCAGAGGGGGGAATCAGTCAGGATAGTAGAGTTTAAAAAGATTTGTTTTGAGTGCAGTTTTGAAGGCTGTGGTGTGAAAATAAAATCCAACATAGGCCTATATACTTTAGAGTGATTTCATGGATGTAATTAAAAATAAATTGTGACTACCAATATCATTAGACTTAGTCAACACTGCTCTAATCAATCTATCACTATCATCAATTGATAGTTTTTTATAGTAAACTACCAATAGCCACCTAAAAGCTACTGGTAGTGGAGCACCAATAGCTCTCTAGTTTACTACCAGTAGCCACACCCTAAAACATCACCAATCTAGGGGGATGGGGGTCACATTTTTGTGATGAGGAGTGGGGGGGGGGGGGGCTTAAGCAATGTATTTATAGTGAAAAATTGCACTTAATAACCCTAAATTACATTCATTTGAAACGTCATTCTTTTTAAAAAAATTTTATAAATATTTTATTTTTAAACTACCATCACTGAGAGATTCAGTTCAGGCACAGGTCCGAAAAATGGCTTTTGACAGGGGGGGGGGGAGCTTAAGCAATGTATTTATAGTGAAAAATTGCACTTAATAACCCTAAATTACATTCATTTGAAACGTCATTCTTTTTAAAACAATTTTATAAATATTTTATTTTTAAACTACCATCACTGAGAGAATCAGTTCAGGCACAGGTCCGAAAAATGGCTTTTGACCAAGTGACAGGCTGCCATGGAGGAGGACAAAATGGGTGTAGTGACATTGACAGTCAAGAGAATTTATATCAAAATGTGGCGATAGGAGCCATAGAATAAGGACTACCACGTGATGTGGGATGGGACAAAAAATGCTCTAGGGCAGGGATTCTTAAGCTTTTTGCAGCAATAATTTCACAAATTAAATCAGATGCGCAGAAACATACAGTGGATTACAGTGCGTGTTCACTAGGCTAAATGTAACCGTTGGCATATCTTAAGAGTTACTTGTGAGAACACAAAGCAACAGTATGATGATCATTACTGAAACTTGCAAGGAAATTTGTATAGCCTTTAACTTTGAAAACACTGGTAATTAGAACTAATGGATTTCACAGGTTTTTAGGTGACTGATGGCTATCTTAGGCTATTTTAGGATTGTCAGTCACAATTGCAGGATAATTATTGCAGAATTTGTGCATAAATGTACATAAAAATTATGCCAAACCCCCTCCAACCCTTGTGTGCAAAATCAACCCCCCCACCCCCCTTTTTCCCTGACAATGCATTTGCAATATATAGATGTCCCCTTAGTCTATACATTAAAACTGGGAGAGGCAACGCAATAGCCGATGGCCACAGTCTATAGCAGTCTATGTGTAAACCAGGGTAAAATCATATTTTAATGTAGTAAATACAATATGAAAGAAATAGGATATTTTTCTTAATTTTTTATTAATTTCTATTTTATTTACTTTTTAAAATCAATTTTTTGCATTATAGGGCCTAGTTAATATTCCAAAATGGCAGAATGTCTTTCTGTATCAAAGCAACAAACAAACATTTAATTGTGATTTAACAAATAGACTAGAACTAAAAATTAACTCCAGCCATTTCCTGCCATTTGCTGAGATATTTGTTGTGTAGGCTGTAAGGAGAGCTCTTTTATTTAGGTTTTCTTCTTTTTAAGATGTCGGAGATGTGAACATTTGGAACAGAAATAACCCATTGACTTATTTATCAACTATTTATTAAAAATAATATAAAAAATACATTTAATTAATGACATTAAAATACCAGATTGACATGGACAAATTTAAAATAGCTGGAGTGGACCATAACAGCACTATTTAATTAAGATTTTAAGATTATCATTGGTCCTCTCTCTCTCCCCCCCCCCTCCCTTTTCTCACATTAACTTAAAAATTGCTGGGTTGTATGGTAAAGTGTGTTGACTCTTGGACTAGATTTACATACATGAGCTAAATTTTATGTCCTTGACACAGTATAATTAAATAAAGCCTATATTCAATCCAGAACTAGGTACATCAGTTTATTCACCCATAGAATCTACCAATATTGATTGTCAGAAGGATAAGTATCAGTAGGCCTAGACCAAATAATTTATACAATAAAAAATGTCATGCCATATTAATGAAAATTAGATGATTAAATCACTTAATAATTATTTTACTTAAAAGACAGTTATTAAAAAAAAATGATACAGGCTTAGCTTAAAAGGAAGTAGGCCTCACAAAGGAAATCTACCCCAAAAAATTGAATGCTTCCTAGTTTTGAGCTGTTCCTTTTCTCCCTTTTTGTTCTGTTTAAATTAATGAAGAATGTGTGCCACTATGTCCATGTTATTGTTTTGTTCTGTTTAAGGAAGAAGGTGTTGTGCCACTATGTCCATGTTATTGTTTTGTTCTGTTTAAGAAAGAAGGTGTTGTGTCACTATGTCCATGTTATTGTTTTGTTCTGTTTAAGAAAGAAGGTGTTGTGTCACTATGTCCATGTTATTGTTTTGTTCTGTTTAAGAAAGAAGGTGTTGTGCCACTATGTCCATGTTATTGTTTTTTTCTGTTTAAGAAAGAAGGTGTTGTGTCACTATGTCCATGTTATTGTTTTGTTCTGTTTAAGAAAGAAGGTGTTGTGTCACTATGTCCATGTTATTGTTTTGTTCTGTTTAAGTTTAATAAGAAAAAGGTGTTGCGTCAACATGTACATTTTGCAGTTTTGTTCTGTTTAAGAAAGAAGGGGTTGTGCCAATAAGTACATTTTGCTGTTTTTTTCTGTTTAATGGAGAAGGTGTTGGGCCAGTAGGTCCATGTTACTGTTTTGCTATGTAAGGAAAATTCTGTTGTGCCAATATTTCCATGTTTTTATTTTGTTCTTTATTTCATGCTTTCCTATGTCCTATTATTTAATTCCCCTCTCATCAAGAACTTGATTTGGTAGCTAATAGATATCTATTTTAATATGCATATTTTTTTTGAAGGAAGAATTGGAAGTATTGAAATCCATCTATGATGGAGATGTTGCCTTCAAACAGATTAGTGACACAACCTTTCAATACAAGGTACAACATCTCCTGCTTACTTAAAATACTTCTTTGTTCAATGCTAGCAAATGATAAATTATTTAGTAATTCTTTTTGGTGTTTTTTAATGACTTAAAATTAAAACTTAAAGTAACAGTTTCAAGTTTGAAATAAAGTATATAAATGAATGTTACTGATAACATTAAATATTTTATTCATTTGTATTTAAAATACTTAGATGTGTCAATAGTAAACCCTTCACTACTGCATTATAGTATTGAAAGGGTTCATAAAAATTTTATGGTCAAAATATGATTGTTTTGAAAATTTTGTGAAAATTTGTTTTTTGTTGTTGATGCAGTTTGGTGAAGATGGCAGCTACAAGTCATTCATTGCTGAAATTTCATGGCATGATAACTATCCAGAAGATGTGCCTAATATTAATATGGAGCTCTTCTATAACAAGCATGTGTAAGGCCTGTTGTTAAGTAATTTAACAAAAATAATGTTTAAAGTACACCTAAATGAAAAGATATTAGTTTCTAAAATTGCTTGCTGCAAATTTAAAAAAAAAATTATTTAAATTGAAGTAGAATTCGAAGTCTTATCTTTTGATTTTCTTTGGGATGTAAAGGCCTTATGAGTCAAAGTGAATTGGTCATTTTTCCAAAGAGTATTTTTTTTGAAAATGCCGCCATGAAGCGTCATTTCATGTTATATATGTTGCCTAAAGAGAGAATGTTAAAAATTATTATACATCATATTAAATGTAACAAAGCGTTGAGATTGCAGTATATTCTGAGTAGACTTAGCTACAGTTGAGATACAAAAGATGATGTTTGATCAGTCCAACAGAAGACTTACTCTTTACTATATTATTTCCAAACAAGATGTTGTGTTTATCAGTCCAATAGACTAACTCTCTACTATATTACTTCCACACAAGATAATGTTTGATCAGTCCAAAAGACTTATTCTCAAATATATTATTTCCAGTAATTCATTGTTTTCTCTAATTTGATAGAGCATCGTCTGTTAAAGAATCTGTAAAGGCAGGAATTCTTCAACAGGTATGGATTTAATAATAGTACCTGTACCTATGCACTCATTTTAGCAGTATTATATACAATCTCTGATGGTAACTCATCTATTAATCTCATTAATCATAAAGTCAATTTTTATTAAAATTTGATAAAATTTAAATTCCTATCTTTATGCTGTTAGTGTGTCAGTCGATACATTAAAGTACATATGTTTTTTTATTGTAACATATTTTTTCAGGCACAAGATCTATTAGGTATGTCTATGACATTTTCCTTGTTTGAGTGGGTCAAGGACAACTTAGAAACCCTTCTGGAAGATCAACCAAACGCTCCCCCTTCTATCACAGTGAGTAGTAAATTTACTCAAAAAAATAATTTGATATTCTTAATAGTGACAATAAAATTGCTAATATTTTTTGTAAAATCAATTTAATCTATTCTTACCAAGTCAAGTGAGATTTTAATAATTTTTTTATTGCACACAGTTGTTAATAAGATTTGGTTATTAATTTTACTGATTTTTATTTCTTTTGAATTGTATACAACAATGTGTTAAATTTTATATGCTTTGAATCATATATAAAAATGTGTTTAAATTATAGGCTTGGAATCATATACAACAATGTTTTAAATTATATGATTGGAATCATATACAACAATGTTTTAAATTCCATGCTTGGAGTCGTATACAACAATGTGATAAATTATAGGCTTGGTATCATACACAACAATGTGTTAAATTATAGGCTTGGAATCATATACAACAATGTGTAAATTATAGGCTTGACAAATCATTATTTTTTTCTTATTTGTGTCTTATAAATAACAGCCAAACTGAATTCATTGACTCAATCATAAATTAAGTTACTTATCATTTGATTGGTTTTATAACTCATTATCTCCAACATCATCTCACTGCAGACATTACAACCTCAAGTGGATGATGGTGATGACGACAGCCCCATGAAGAAGGACAAGAAGGAGCAGCTGACAAAGTCACAAAAGAGGAGGCTGTTTGATCGTTTTGGTGCCACCACTGACCGCCCACGTGGCTGGGACTGGGTGGACATCATAAAACACTTATCACAGACTGGTGGCAAACCTGAATCCTAGATTCTCTGTGTTAGTTGAGAGTGAATGGAATATGCCTGTGATTCATAGCTTGGGAAGATGTTGTGTTTTTTGTGGGTTTTTTCTGCCCTGGGCAATAAAATGCCTAATAAAATATATGCATTGTCTAAATGTCTTGAATAATTATTTGATATAATTTTTGTTGATATATATAAAATAAATGGGAGTCTGCATCCATTAAATTGACTTTTGGATGAGAGGTATATCCAGAAATGTATTTGAATGCTACTTAGGCACCAGAAATAAATGTAGTTTTAAATTGTAGGGGACTCATGCTTATATAGTAATAGCTCTAAACCCATATGAAATTATTTTTTTGTAGACTATATTTGAAGTTAAATGGTAAATATTGAGAGATTAATATGTGATTAAACCCTTAATAAGAATATCCAAAACCAGCTCAGTATGTGAGATAAGTCCTGAGAAAGTATACTGACCTACACAGAATAATGATGGATGACCAGTATTAGAAATAAATCACTTGAACAAGGGCCCAGCCATATAGCTGGCAGTTTTAAAAAAGCCGGATTGTGATGGAGGCTTGAAAGCGAGAGGAAGCATGAAGTGACATTGATGATGATGATGATGATGAAGATTATTAGGTGGCTATCCAGAATTTAAAATCAAGTTTTCCAGTATGAGAGTTATTTAAAAATTAAATTTAAAGGTTTTTGGATTTAATGAAGTTACTTTTTTTATATGCCAGATATTTTTTCACTAGGCATTAGATAATTACAATGTATGGTAGAATGCAGCACACAGGTAAACTTTATGAGACTAGATCAGTCTAGATCAGTGCTGTGAAAGTCTTGATCAGTGCTCCAACAATAGTCAAGACCAATACTCCAACAATAGTCTAGATCAATACTCTGATACAATAGTCAAGATAAGTGCTCTGAAAGTCTTGATCAGTGCTCCAACAATAGTCAAGATCAATACTCCAACAATAGTCTAGATCAATACTCTGACACAATAGTCAAGATCAGTGCTCTGAAAGTCTTGATCAGTGCTCCAACAATAGTCAAGATCAATACTCCAACAATAGTCTAGATCAATACTCTGACACAATAGTCTAGATCAGTGCTCTGAAAGTCTTGATCAGTGCTCCAACAATAGTCAAGATCAATACTCCAACAATAGTCTAGATCAATACTCTGACACAATAGTCAAGATCAGTGCTCTGAAAGTCTTGATCAGTGCTCCAACAATAGTCAAGATCAATACTCCAACAATAGTCTAGATCAATACTCTGACACAATAGTCAAGATCAGTGCTCTGAAAGTCTTGATCAGTGCTCCAACAATAGTCAAGATCAATACTCCAATAGTCAAGATCAATACTCTGACACAAGAGTCAAGATCAGTGCTCTGACATTCTTGATCAGTGCTCCAACAATAGTCGAGATCAGTACTCTGCCACATAGTCTAGATCAGTGTTACAAAAGTTTAGATCAGTACTCCAAATATAGTCTAGATCAGTGCTCTGACAGAAGTCTAGATCAGTGCTCTGACAGAATAGTCTAGATCAGTGCTCTGACAGAATAGTCTAGATCAGTGCTCTGACAGAAGTCTAGATCAGTGCTCTGACAGAAGTCTAGATCAGTGCTCTGACAGAATAGTCTAGATCAGTGCTCTGACAGAATAGTTAAGATCAACTATCTGATAGAATAGTCTTTATCAGTGCTCCGTAACCTTTTTCCAACCTAGGCGCATCCAGAAATTCTGCAGCCAACCACAAGTAAAATTATACAACAAAATTGGGCTTTAGAGATTTCACACATGAAAGTAACTTGATCCAATCGATTTTCATATCAAATAAAATGTCATAACCATAGTTAAAAAATCATAAAGGATATAAAAAATATGGTTAGAAATACGAAAATAGATTGATAAATAAGCGTAAAAAGTAACCTAACAATTTTAAAAAACATAAGTTCATCAATTGCAAAGTTCAACTGGCAAGGGTCAGTCGGCAAGGGTTAGTCTGGCAAAAGTTCAAATTGTAATAGTTGACACTAGGAAGCTAACAAACAGTGTTCAACCGTAAATTCATTAATGTTTATTGATACGGTCATTTTATACAGGCGATGGAATAATCAATGACTGTTCATCATTGTAAGCACTACCTCAATTACTCCATTGAATTAAATAGGTTAAGATTTGAAGAGATCATCTTTTTACTCAAACAGTTTCACCACAATTATTCTAATGTGGTAGCAGTTCATGTGACATAAATAATATCTGATGGGTTCTCGAACAAAACTTACAATTCTTTAGTAATGTGCTCACTTGGTAGCAGTAGTAGCATGTTCTCATCCGTTAGGAGTTGGCGTCTATCGTTAAGTTGTAATTAAAAAAAAAAAATGTTCCCATAATATGACTTGTCCTTTCGCCGATACATCTGAGTAAAAGAACAACTCTCGGGGAAACCTTCTGATGGCATAGTTTACATTATTTGACCCAGGCGTTATTATTTGTCCTTCGGCTTGATAGTAGCCTTGACGTGAGCTGTATCTTGTTTAAAGTGAGTGGGGTGTTGTCAATTCGTCAGCCTCACTCTTGCGTCCTTGCTTATTTGTTCCAATAGCAAGACTAAGTCCAGGCGACTGGAAATGGACCTGATTACAGTACATGACCAGCAGTGTTACTTTATTATTAAAAAAAAAAAAATTTTGGGTGCGTGTTTCACTGTGCTCTCTATGCGTTCCACGTCGCAGGGGTTGCCAGAATTTTCACTGCGTCAGTGTCATACCGACTGAAGGACTCCATCTCCAGAGTCTTCCTTCCTTCTCTTAGATGAGTTACCACCAAGGTTAACGAGCCCAATCCATCCTGGATGCTGGTGGTGTTTTTGCTTGGGGATTGACCGCCAGTCCACAGGCTTGGGATGGACTCGGTTTAGACCTCTCGGCAACCCAGCAATAATCGAATGATTTCATTCCATCAACCTACTTGGTTGATGAACATTTCACTCAGTGGCGTAGGGAGGCAGGTACGGAGGGGGCAAACCTAGAATCAACTTGCGGCACATCGGTTACGGAGCTCTAGCCTGGATATCACACCTTGTATTTGGGTGGTCTGGAACAATAGGTGCAACTATCATATACATTTTTTAAGTATAGTAAGCAGATGGTCGGTCAGAAATAAGAGTTATAATATTTCCTCTAACAGATAGTCATTCAATGATGATTTCTAAAACCTGTTAGGCACAAGGCAAATATTTCAATTATGTTAAAAGAAATTGTTCCATAATAAAAATTAGCTACACGTTTTTAACCATCTCTCTCTCTCGTTTAGTTTTAACTCCAAATAAGTTTTAATTTTCTACGTCCAGTGCTATTACTTCCAATGCCATCAGTCCTACACCTCTGACCTTTTGGTCTGTGTGCACAAACACACACAACAACTAACAGCAATTCAATGTCTGAAACTGAAAGGACTCTGTTAAATTACTTGTTTAGTTTAGTTCTAACAGTAAACAGATTAAGTTAAAGGAACTGTTGGAAAGATCAAAGTGAATGGTAGTAGACAATGACAACCACGGCAGTAGACAATGACAACCACGGCAGTAGACAATGACAACCACGGCAGTAGACAATGACAACCACGGCAGTTTGAGTTGGCGGAGAAGAGGCTGACGTTGGTAATGAAAAATAGGCCTACCATTTAAGTATAGCCTAGAAATGAAAATACCGGCATTGATATTGGTTGAATAATCTTGAAATACCTATGGTTATTTTGAATCACAAAACTGAATATATTCCTCAATCATTTCAATTGATTTTCAAAGTAAAAGGAAAGTAAAATTGATTCGAATATATTTTATGATTCGAATAAGTTGTAATATAAATACAGTGCAAAAGTCTTAACAGGCTGGTACATCCAAAAAGTAAAGTGAATTTGAAGCTCAAGAATGATAAAAACTACGATCGGTTGTTGGTAGCAATGCAATAATTTGACATGATCTGGAAAACATTTAATTGCAACTAGGAATAGTTTCTCGCATTATTTACAAAAGCTAATCAACAAATTGATTGCAAATTAATTGGATTTCATATCCACCATAAATTCTTTTAGTTTTACATATGATATTGTTTAATGGAGATCTCCGTAAACAGTATTAGCACCAGGAATTATAATATAATTTGTGTGAGCATAAACTATACTAGTTTCAAGGGGGAAAAATCAATTAATTCAACAGTATTACTATCAAAACACTTAATTGACTAAAAAATCGTCCTCACATAAAAATTGCCATCATTACTCCCAATACTAAAACTACAGCTGCACTCGAGTCAACAAATTATCTGCGTCTTGAACTTCAACTGATCATTATTCAACTGCCTCTCTCTTAGCTCAATTAATTAATGGATTTTTAAAATTGCCGCTGCAGTTAAGCAAGCATCTTCAGACTATATAAGCCATCGGGTTATTAGGTAAAGATTATACGTTATTAGAAATAGAACACTGTGTTAAGTTGGGCATTTTAGAAACACACTCAAGTCATTTATAAGAAAAAGTTGAAGCCTGATATTCCATTTGAGCTCACACCATACAGAATAGGACCTACTCCTTTAAACAACAACAACAACAACAAAAAAAACAACAACAAAGAACAAGAAAAAAAAAATCAAATCCTTGTAAATGACGGAATTAAAAAGGAGATTTGGATGGTTCAACACTTTGAATAATTGGGAGACATAGTCTAGAGCTTTCAGAAAACTTATTAAAAATTTCTTCACAAAAAGGATTTAAAATTTCTTTAGAAAACTGAATTTTAAATTTCTTTAGAAATCTGATCTTTAAATTTCTCCAGAAAACGATTTTTAATTTCTGTCACTTGAACAATATTTTCCTGTCGGCTGCTGCGCCGAGACTTCCGTGGACGCAAATGTTCTACATTCTATCGTGCTTCGTAATTAAAGCCAATCTACAAGCGCAGAACAAAGGGTAAGAAACAAAATGGCTGGCGCTAATGATAACAACACAGGACAGGTACTTACAACGACATGCACATTATTTCCAAATCTAAACGATCAGACTGTGATGACGTATAAGACCATTGGGCCCTCTAAGCTGATCAGTGATGAACTGTTGAGCATCATTTCTGTTGTGGTCAAGTCAGCCTTGTACCAAATATTTAGCGCTTTCGGCATGACGACCAACTTTTTGAACCTGGTTGTTTTCAGGAAAATGGGCTTCAGGGATACGGTCAACGTTTCGCTGTTCGCACTGAGCGTCTCCGATTTTTGCAGTCTGGCGTCTCTCTTCTGGATGGGGATCTGCTACAATCCGATTTTTGCAGACTCGGAAATCAGCATCGACTCCAGGGGTATCCAGTACATTACGGGGGGTTGGCCTAAGTTTTACTTCACAAGGGTGAGCGGTCTGATCACAGCCTACGTAACCTTCGAGCGATGCCTCTGCACGACCATGCCGCTGAAGGTCAAGTCCATCGTGACTACAAAACGAGTCCTGGTGGTTGTTATCTGTTTGTACCTGACCGTCGCCATGTCCATCGCTCCCATCTACGTGTCGACTCACATCGTTTGGAAGTGGTACCCAAACAAGAACAGGACACAGCTGGGACTCGTGTTTTCGGCCAACCGAGAAACCATCAACAGCATTACATTCATTCTCAATGGAGTCCTATGCAACGGCTCCTTTTTCTTCGTGGTTCTGTGTACCGTGGTGCTTGTCACAAACTTGAAAAAATCGATGCAGTGGAAGAAAACATTCACCAGACAGAAGGATAAGAAGGGGGGTAAGGAGAACAAAGCGAGCAAGATGGTGACGTTGGTCGCTGTGGTTTTCATATCGTGTCTGTTCCCCGGGTCGGTTTTCTCCCTTGCCATGTACGCTGTCCCTGAGATGAACGCCGGGGAGTCGCAGCAGAATCTGTTCTTTGCTTTAGCCTCTTTGATCCACATCACCGAGGCCTTCAACGCATCTATCAACACATTCGTCTATCTGCAAATGAGCTCCAAATATATGCAAACCTTTCGCCAGTTATTTGGCTGTTTTGTCACTTTAACAGAGAGTGACAATATTAGCAGTACTAGTTAAGCGGAATCTGGGTCAGTTGTTTTGGAGGTAAGGATTGCAACTCCTATCTGTTTCGGAAACTTTCGGAAACTGATATCCGGATTTCATTTTGAAAAAAAAATTAATATGTTTAATATTTAGTATTTTATTTATGAGCACTTTCCCAATGATGCAAAATTCAAAGGCCTAATATTTGAATTATTTAATAATTAAAAAACGAATACAAAAAACTAGCAGATATGTTATTTAAAATAATAAGTTAATATTTAATACTTGTGCAAAACCAACTGATATGTAAATACAAAGTAACAACAGCATCTACTTAAAAGATCAAATGAACCAAATATAACAGAGTTGGACTGAGGTAAAGCTTTTTAAGTACATTAATGAGACACACACAATTTGTGTATATGAAACAGTGTATGTGTTAGATTTAATTCTTAGACAAAACTAAACATTTAAACGTTTCGAATTAAAGCCTTCTTCGGTGCAATAGAACAAATTATAAGAGACTCAATTAGCTAAACAGCTGTTTGGCTTTGACTTTAATTCCAATGCATAACATTGTTCCAAATAGTTTTTGATATCTTCCGGTCGCGATGATGAGATGAATGAGAATGAATAATGAACTCAACACTGTTTTCAGTATAAATATATCCACTGCTAGCAAATGTAGCCATGTTTCATTACGGGGTGGGTGGAGGTGTGTGTGTGTGTGTGGGGGGGGGCTGTGACCGATTGATGTTTAAAAAAAAGTTATCAAAAAAGCGAATATGAGTTGTTGCATTTTCGTTGCTTTGTACTAAGACAAAATGTCTAAACTTCTGTCATGTTATTTCTTGCCAATTATTTGGGGTACCAAGTATACAATTTTAGTTATAACAGGCATCAATAGAAATGTTAAAAGTTAATTTATTGAATCATTTCTTTGTAAAAGTTTGCCAGTTGGTTGTGAGCAGATGTGAACCATGAGAAGAACTAACACGTGAGCCATTTGACCGTGAGATAAGATGGTAGTGAGCAGATGTTAACCATTAGAAGAACTGACATGTGAGCCATTTGACCGTGAGATAAGATGGTATTGAGCAGATGTTAACCATAAGAAGAACTAACACGTGAGCATTTTGGCCATGAGATAAGATGGGCGTGAGTAGATGTGAACCATTAGAACAACTGACCGTGAGCCATTTGACCGTGAGATAAGATGGTATTGAGTTGATGTTAACCTTTAGAAGAACAGACACGTGAGCCATTTGACCGTGAGATAAGATGGTATTGAGTTGATGTTAACCTTTAGAAGAACTGACACGTGAGCCATTTGACCGTGAGATAAGATGGTAGTGAGTTGATGTTAACCTTTAGAAGAACTAACTGGGGCGATTTCAAAACAATCCATGTATTTTCGTACCGTTATGGCTTTGAACAACTAACGTAAAATGAAATTGTTGCAAAACAAGAATTAAAACTAGGCGCTCTTTTTTCACCTGGGAGTAATTCTTCTGATGGGCTTTACATTTCTTAGATAGACATCTACTGTGCGAGCAACTTCTTGAAACGAAACTGAACCAATGCCAACATCATTGGCATCCACAACATCACTGGCATCCACAGCTAATTTAAACTTTTAAAAAAAAGTTTGGTGCAGTGAGAACACGAGCATCGGCGTGTAAATTTTTAATGCTGATGAATGCTTTTTGACAAGCATCTGACCAAAGAAATTTTATATTTTTCTTTAACAAATTTATGAAGAGGGAAACAATAGTTGAAACGTTTTTTTCAAAACTTTCTGTTATAACCTCCCATGCCCTTAAATCTAATGAGTTGTTGTTTCCTAGTAGGGGGTGCAGGAAGTGATTAAATAACATTTAGTTTTGGCTTGAACAGGATTTACATGAATTTGATCCTCAACAGAGGCGTAGTTGGAGGGGGGGCAGGGGGAACATATGTCCCCGGGTGCCAGCTAGTTAGGGGCGACAAAATGTGCTTTGATATTATTTTATTGATGAAAATAATGGGTTTGAGAGTTGAAAAACAAGAAAAAGGGGGTGCTTTAAAATGAATCGTGTCCCCGGGCGGCAAACACCCTCGCTACGCCCCTGATCCTCTAGGTAACCTAAATATTTCACAGTTGCTTAAGATTTCAGTAACAGTTGCTTGAAAAAAATCTCAATCAAATAACTTAATTAGGTTACAAGACTCCAAAAGTATTGACTGTAAAAAAAAAAATAACATCATCAATGTAGGCACTGCAGATTTCCTAGTCAGCAATAATGTTATTAACTAGAAGTTGGAATGTAGTTGGGGCATTTTTCATTTCAAACGGCAATACTTTATATTGGTATAGACCATCTGGAGTACAGAAAGCAGAGATTTCTTTTGCTCTGCCAGACAGAGGAACCTGCCAATAACCAGGTAATATTTCTATCCTGGTTACATATTTGACATCTCCTACTCAATGAGTTCGTCTATTCTCGGAATAGGAAAAGAATCAGACTTTGTAAAAAAAAAAACACTTTCCTGAAATCAATGCAAACCTGTAACTTGTGTCAGGCTTTGGGATTAAAATACAATGGAGAACTTCAGTTACTAAAGCTTGATTCAAGGATGCCATTGTCAAGCATGTACTTAATTTCAGATTAATTAGACACCAACAATTTGTGTCAATATAATTTAAGCTCTAATAATAATTATACATAATACACAAGTAAATGTTTCGGCACATGCCTAAGTACAACATCAAAATATTGAAATAAGTATACATTAAATTGACATAATATATGTATGCATATAGCCTATATAAAAAATGAAGAACAAAAATAGGAGAGGGCGCAAAAACCAGAAAAAAAAAATGTAAAGAGAAGTAGAAAGGAAGTGATTTGAACAAAATTGTAAAAACCAAACAGGAAAAAGACATGACAGCTAGGTAAAATTGTGGATTTAGTTTATGCCATATGGAGACAACGTACCATATCTTGTTATTAAGTTATTCTCTGTGTAGATTCTATCTCTTGTGTTACTAGTATAGAGTATACCAGTAACTGCGATGTCTGAGATACCATCATGGTTAGGGCTATTGAAATGTTTGGAGACCCGGACACTTTTTATAAATAATTTCAGACCGGATTATTTCGATTTTTTCCTGATTGACCATATCGAGGTGTAGCTTAACCAGATCTGCATTGCCAATGTCAGCATCATGCACGGCAATTTTTATTTAGTTTTTGGTACATCAGGAAAACGTAAAACAAAAACAGTAATAACAGGCATAACAATGTCTTATTCTGACAATGATAAATGTCATAATTTCTTATCTATGATGACCAGTATTTATGAATGTTAAAGTTTGTAATGGCCAAAGTTTTAATATACACTATGAAAAGCATCAGTTAAATTTTCTTTAGATACCGATGTTACAGTTGAGATTGTGTTGACATTAGTATCTGAGGATGAACAATCGTCATCACAAGGTCTTTCAACATATTCTTTTAACATGCTAATATGATATGATATGATTGTTTCTTTCTTTTACGATCTGGTATTCATACAATATAAAATAAGTCATCAACTTTAGACTCGACCTCATAAGGAACAACATATCTAGCCTATTAAAAATCTTGTCCTGATATTGACAAAAGCACAGGCACCTTGCCCCCTAAGCAAACTGTCCGAATTTGGCCTTTTTATCGTACCAAACTTCCATTTGAGATTGAGAATCTTTTAAGTGATATTAATCCAAATTATATGCATTAAAATGTTTAATTTTAAAATTGAAGACAAATGTCAAAAGTCCTTCAATTGGTATCGATGGCATCCACTCATCTTTTAAACATTTTAGGGGACCGCGAACCACATGGCCAAACACCAGTTCAATGGGACCGAATCCAAGTGATTCTTGAATTGCTTCTTTTGCGGCGAACAGTAGCATGTCGATTCATTCATCCCAGTCTTTCTCTTGTTTTTGGCAGTACGTTATCATCATGTCCTTTTAAGTCTTAAGGAATCGTTCAAGTGCCACCCGCGACACAGGTTGATATGCACTCGACAAGCAGTGTTCTTTCCTAGTTCATTCATTCATTCATCAATTGTTTGAAAAGTCCATACTTAAGTTGGTTCCTTGGTCAGACTGTACAGACTTCGGAAGACCAAACAATGTAAAAAAAAAAAAAAACTTCATTAATGCTTTGACGATGTCCGAAGTCTTGATATTAGGAAGAGGAATAGCTTCTGGGAACCACGTTGATGCACACACGATTGTCAGCAAGTATTGTTGACCCGATTTCGTCTTTTGGAAGAGGTCAAACACAGTCTCTTATGACACGACTGAAAGGTTATTTAACTGCTGGAATGAGTTGAAGGGGAGCTGCTGGTATCTTATGACTTGGTTATGGCTACAACTTGAAAAGTATGACATGATATGCAGTGATCCCCCCACACCTTTCTTTATTTTGGGCAAAAAGAAGTGCGAAGTTATTTGGTGATATGCATTTTTTTACTCTCAAATGACCAATTTTTTTATTTTTTTTATACAGTCCTTGACCTTCATAATGTAATGACACAATATGGCAACATATATATGCGGCCCTCCAATAGCTTTTCTTTTGTCAATGTAGCCATACGTACACACAACTTTCCCACTCCTAAGCTAAGTCACTGCCAAGCAGCAACCAAATGCCGCCAAATGGTAACGTTAGTCGGACATCCACAATCACAGGTCTCGAGACTAGGTCTGATTTGAGATTCATACGATGTAAAGGTATATCAATGCAACCCAGCTCTACACCTCATAACAGGATGTTGCTTCCTGTAGCAGTAGTTTCAGACAAGGGTAGTATACCCTCAAGCAGTAAGGAGTGTGAAGCACCCGTATTTCGTAAAATCTTGGCAGGTGGTAGACTGGAAGAATCACCTGGCTATGATACAAATCCTTCCGATTTGAAAGGCATACAAATCTTGATGAACATCAGTAGTTTATGATGTATAAATTTGAACCTTGGTAGGTAAAGTCTTGTTGGAGTCTTAAGAACATCTGGTTAGAGTAGAGGAAAGAAAACTATAGGTAGAGTCGTCAAAACTTGTTCTCAGGTCCTTGAGGGGGAACCTCTTCTTGGAGCAACAGGATCTTCGTGATAAGCTCATAGAACTTGCCGATGAAGCAGGAACTTGGCTCGAGTTAGTAAGACTAAAGTTATTGGTCAGGATAACGCTGCATATCTCTTAATTAATAGCAACGGGAAAAGTGTCTGAATTTGAGCTGAAATTTTGTCAGAAAAGATGCAATTGTAAAAAAATAAATTTTTTTTGAGTAATGGTCTTATTGTAATGTAATGTAAGTGGTAATGTAATATTTGGTAATAAGCAATGATACATGAAAAATCCTCTTTCCATAAATGTATTTAGCCCTTATTCCATGGTGTTAAATGTCTCCGAGTTATTTTTAAGTTGTATTTTCTAAACTTCATTTTTATGAATTTTATCTCTAAGCATTGCCTTCACAAAAATAAAAATATCTGAATGATAGACCAGTGCCATATTTAAGTGACAGCCTGGTGCCATATTTGATACTCAGACCTATGCCATATTTGATGCCCTGACCTGCCAATATTTGATACACAGACTGGTGCCATATTTGAATGACAGGCTGGTGCCATATTTGAATGACAGGCTGGTGCCATACTTGAATAATAATAATAATGATAAAGTTTATTTGAAAAACACGCTTCATCCCCAAAAGCTCGAAGCGCGGTACAAAGTCAACCATATTATAAAGAGAAATAAAAACAATCTGAAATTTACCACATTTAAAAAACAGACGCAACAATATAAAACTACATACGAGCATACCAAGTCAAAGTCTTTCGTCCCATTTCAACCATAAGCAACACAGGCCAATATATATTAACTGAAAAAGATGGTAGATAGCATCTGACAGGCTGGTGCTATTTTTGAATGACAGACTGCTGCCATATTTATATACAATGGGATTTTAAAGTAGAGTTGTTATGTTTCAAGCGCCACAACTCTTGTCAATGTGGTTTTTCCGTCACGACGCAAACAGATCAAATAAATGGCGTGAACTTTTCTACGACGTCCTATTTTGTTCATGGGAAATTAATGTATACCTTACAGTTAGTCACGCCCTCAGTTAGCGATACTCATTTAATTTTTTTTTTAAAAATCATCACACAAGGCATTTAATATTGACTGACCTTGAGTTTTAATTTATAGATATTTATTGTCTATAAGATTTTGATGTTTTACTTCCTCATTTGCAGTTCAATTAAAGTTGGAGAGCTCAACAAACACAAAGGCGGGTGACAAAGGTCACATAAAAACACATGACCCGCAGAGATATGAAACAATATAATCTATAAACCTGCAGCTACTTTAAAAATGTGCATCATTAAATTGTCATAATTTGGACAAATTCGACCCATCAATTATCAGACGATCACTACACCGCGTTTGATTGGAACTCTTCACTCGGAAAACAATAAACGAACTCTTTGAGTGTCAGTAAATTTTCTAATGCACACAATTCCAATAATTACCATGATTCTTATGTAAACATAGCGTGCATCTTGTCAAAAGCAAACACAATATAGCACCCCCCCCCAACCCCAGACACACTCCCCCCCCCCTCCCAAAGAAAACCACCAAATTAAATATAACTAAATTCTATAGGAGTAAAATGGTTAATGATTTGAGTTCACAATAATTCAAATGAAATCTCCTCCGTAGTTTAAGGAAGGGTTCTGCTTGTTATTTAAAACATTGTCTTTCCCGTTAATGCCCTCTAGCTAACGCGACCTTTATGGTAAACTACCTACTATATATTACAAAAATCTGCAATAAGATGAAGGATGTGTTTTCAAAGTTGGAGGTATTTGTTTACTCGCACATAGAAAAGCAAAGGTCAAACTTTTGCGGAAAAAAATACATTAGAATAAATCTAACATTCGTTTAACAGCATGCCTTGAATATTTCCTTTTTCATTTGGAATCCGGGAAGTGTATGAACTCAATAACTAATACTTGACTAACGAATAAGATAAAACCCGTCGCTTCTGTTCGTTAAGAAAAGTAATCAAAAAAAAAAGTATCCATTTTCTACTACTCTCAAATCAACGGTGTTGTTGGTCACTATGGACGCCTTGTCAGCTTTCACACAGTTAGACGCATCACTTTTGTCTTTGGAGAGTAGGATTTTTTGGAACCGAAGCCAAAGAAACATTTTAATTTTACACAGTCCAGTTAACCCTTTAAAGATAGTCAGCGATGAAGTGCTCAATATCATTTCCGTGGTGGTCAAGTGTGCATTGAACCAAGTCTTCAGTGTGTTTGGCATCTTGACCGATTCGGTTAACCTCATGATTTTCTGGAAATTGGGGTTTAAAGAGACCATTAACGTGTCGCTATTTGCCATGGGAGTTTCTGATATCGGGAGCCTAGTATCCCTTTTTTGGATGGGGATCTGTTACAATCCAATCTTCGCCGACTCTGATATTAGCTTTGACTCGCGGAGTGTGCAGTACCTCACAGGAGGGTGGCCGAAATTTTACTTGACCCGAATAAGTGGCTTGATTACGGCTTACGTGACTTTTGAGCGATGCCTCTGTACGGTCATCCCTTTAAAGGTGAAGTCCATGCTCACCCCAAAACGAGTCTCGGTCATCATTGCCGTCATTTTCACCGCCATCGCTCTGACGGTATCTCCCATCTACGTCTACACCCAGTTTGGCCAGAGGTGGTAGCCGGGTAGGAACAGCACGCTGGTGGGACTCATTTTCTCGGCCAACAAAGAAACGGTCAACAGCATCACGTTAGGCCTCAGCGTGCTCCTCTGTGACGGGTCATTTCTGTTCGTGGCCGCCGGCACGGTTATCCTCGTGCTCAACTTAAAAAAATCTCTACAGTGGAAGGAGACCGCTGCAAGAACGTCAGACAAGAGACTCTCTAAAGAGACGAAAGCCAGTAAAATGGTGACGTTTATCGCAGTGGTCTTTATAACTTGCTTGTAGCCGGGATCGCTTTTCTCCCTTGCCATGATTGCGATTCCCGAGTTCAACTCGGGCGAATCCCAGCAGAACCTGTTCTTTGCATCGTGGTCGTTCGCGCACATTTCAGGAGCGCTGAACGCATCCATCAACATGATCATCTATGTTCATATGAGCACGAGATTTAAGAAAGAATTTTGTAAGACGTTTGGTTGTCTGGGTAAATCAAAAGAAAGAAAATATCAAGCCAGCAGCCTAGTCCAAAGCTGGCAAGGGAGTTTGATGACTAGTTAATGTTGAAGAGTGAAACTATTGTTTAGTGGGGAGATCAGAAATTGGTGTGTTGTAAAGAAAAGAAAAGCCGTTTACAACACAGGTTTTCAACTCGTCGTCCAAACAAGTAATTTTCTTACGTCACAAATTTTGGGGAAAAGGTCATGACATAATATATCAAGGGAGTTAATTTTCTAAGATAATTCCCTCTCTCTATTTCTTTATGAGCTACATATTTGTTAATATCTCTCCCCAACCACCCCCCCCTCCACAAAATAAAAATAAATAAAATAAATCACTTCTTGTTCATATACATTCACATTGCAGGCTCATTCAGATATTTCATTAAGTTTGAGATAACGTCATTTGTGTTTTCAAGCAACATAATTAGCAACATTATTAATTTTAATTGTTGTTAATTGTGAGGAACTTTGAAAATATTAAAAATTTGCAAGCATTGTTTATATATATATATATAACCCGGCGCAATCCCTTTTCCCGGTTTTATCCCCTTCCCGGTGGAATCATATTTCTTCGTGGCCCTGGATCCAGGGGGAATCCAGATCCCATGGGGTATCCGATCCGTCGGTGTCTTGATCCCAGTGAGATCCTGATCTCAGTGTATCCCGATGCGCTACCGATCCCAATAGGATACCGTTCACTGTGTGATCCCATTCCACCTAGGGACTAACTTTTCCGATGTTATCCCTTTGCCTGATAGGATCCTGATCCCGGTTTGAGCCCGTTACTCGATGGGATCTCGATGGTATCCTGTTTCCCGATGGAAACGCGCATCCGATGTGACCCAATAGGATCCTGTTTCTCTATGGGATCATGCTCAGTCCGATTTTGTTTGAATAAGCTTTTAGATCTAATTATATATCCCCGTAGAACAATATAGAACATTCTAGATTAAATTTAATGTCCTTCATTGAAACGTGTAAAAATTACATATATACGTAATTATTTCTCGAATACGAGATATTATACAACTAAATTGTGCTAATAACTATAATACATTTAAATTGATATTGGGGCCCCGTTGGGGGCCCATTTAATAAAGCACCGTTTTGTTTATGTCTGTGTTGGGGGCCTATAAAAATCATTAAATTATAATTAAATAATTATACATTTAAAACTTGTCCTATTGAAAGTGGTTTACAAATGCAATAGACATAGCTTTTTTTTAACTATCGAAGTTTCTAGAAAATTCTAGATCGGCCTTGAATGGATTGGATATTAAATCGAACGATATTTTAAAACAGACTAAGAAGGGTATTGCCTAGATCCACCTAATCACATAGAACCTATGGTGTTGTCTAACCCTGTTGCTATTTATAGAGCTTAGATTAGAAAAAATGAAATCGGGCCCCCGGCTCCACATCTATGGATATCATGAGTTCAGTACCCTTCGTTATTTGAATATGAATAATCAAGATTATCTATTCATGTAGGAGTACTAAGCCTATTGCTATTTATATAGCTTATCTAAGGAAAAAAGGAAATGGGGCCCCCGGCTTCAGAAGATGGATATTATGTATTAAGAACCCTTCGGTATTTGAATATGGATAATCAAATGTATGTATATTAAGTATATTAAGCTTAGTCAAGATCCATCTATTTATGTAGCACTATTTGTTGTTAATTTTATTTATATAGCTCATTTAAGAAAAAAGCGAAATCGGGGCCCCCGGATGTGACCGTTCCAAGTAGATTTTCAAATTTAAACCTGTATAACTTTTGAAAGTAGGCCGTAAGAAATATGTCTGCCCAATTTCAGGCTTCTATCTACATGGGAATTTGGAGAATATAGATCATAAAATAAAAAATAAAATGGGCCCCTGGCCCCAGAGGTATGAATATTATGAGTTCTGTATCCTTCTGTATTTGAATATGGATAATCAAGAGTAAGTTAACTAAGTTTGGTCAAGATCCATCCATTCATGTAGGAGTATTAAGCCTATTGCTATTTATTTTGCTTATATAAGGAAAAATGAAATGGAGCCCCGGCCCCAGAGGGATGCATATTATGTGTTAAGTACCCTTCGGTATTTGAATATGGATAATCAAATGTATGTAAATTAAGTTTGGTTCAGATACAGATATTCATGTAGCCGTCTGTATTTGTTGTTAATTTTATTTATATAGATCATATAAGAAAAAAAAACAAACAAAAAAAAACAAATCAAAATTCGGTGCCCCCGGTTGTGACCGTTCTGGGTAGAGTTTCAAAATGGAACCTGTTTAACTTTTTTAAGTAAGCTGTAAAGAATAAGTCTGCTAAATTTCAGACTTATATTTACAGCAGAAGTTGGAGAATATAGCTCATATAAGAAAAAATGAAATGGGGCCCCCAGCCTCATAGGTATGGATATTATGAGTTCATTACCATTCGGTATTTCAATGTGGATAATCAAGAGTATGTGTACTAAGTTTGGTCAAGATCCATCTATTCATGTAGGAGTACTAAGCATATTGATATTTATTAGGCTTATATAAGGAAAAAAGTGAGGGGACCCACCTGGCCTGTGCCTGGGGACCGAGCTCCCATGTCAAGGGTCTGGTGAGGGGACCCACCTGGCCTGTGCCTGGGGACCGAGCTCCCATGTCAAGGGTCTGGTGAGGGGACCCACCTGACCTGTGCCTGGGGACCGAGCTCTCATGTCAAGGGTCTGACCAGGGGAGCTCGGTCCCCAGGCACAGGCCAGGTGGGTCCCCTCACAAGACCCTTTAAATAGTCCAGACAATCCAATGAACACTCCCTTAGATTTAGCATTAAAAAGTGATGGCGTTTGGATGAAATAGTCCAGGAGCTTAGGCTCGCTGGAGCGGCTGCTGGAACTGTTGCTGGAACTGTTGCCGGAGATGTTGCTGGAACTGTTGCTGGAGGTGTTGATGGGGCTGTTGTTGCAAATGCTGCTGGAATTGTTGCTGGAGATGTTGATGGGGCTATTGCTGTGTCAAATATTCAAGACAAAGCAATGAACACTCCCTTAGATTTAGCGTTAGACAATGATAACATTATGGATGATATAGTCCAGAAGCTTAGGCTCGCTGTTATTATACTATTGTTCGTAATACTTTTTTTATATGGACTGTTATGATTCCATTGATAGTAACACTGTTTAGACGAACTTTTATTATTCTATTTTTAGAAATACACTTTTTAGCTGGACTATTATAATAATGTTGATAGTAACACTTTTATTATAATGTTAAATTTCACTGTTAAAATTAAGGCAGCATGGACAACATTAACAAGTTTGTTAGTTTGGTGTTTAGGTTATCACTGAAATATTATCATTACATGTATTGTAATAGACTTCTGCTTATACCAGTGCCTATCCTCTGTAAAGGACCACGGGCTGCTTGTAAGAATAAGATCAAGATATCAGTTGTTCTAACAACGCCCTTTAATTAAAATAATTTATTATCATATAGGCATCTTGATTTTTCTTTTGTAACAAAATTTCCAGTTACAGAAAGTAAAGGAAGGGGATGTATTCTTGGGCTTTTTTTGTTATGAATTTGTTACCAATCTTTGTCTTTACTTTTCTTTCGTTTTTAGGTATATTTAGGATATTAAGATAGGATGTAGCCTACACGTATTTTGTAATCGTTTTTGTTGTTGTTTTTTGTTGTTTTTTTTTTTGCTGTTAAAATAATTGTTTTTTGTTTTACAGATGAGCCATTTGCCGAAGCGTTTGAGTTGATATTTTCTCTGATTATAAGTTAAGTTTAACATTAATTTGTTTTATTTACACAAAATGGTTGCTTCTCATTATAAAAGCTTTGTCGCACTCCAACACTTTTACAAATTATTCTTATCATGTTGCAAAAAGAATAAAATTCTTCACGTATATTTATATTGCTTCCATTCTTGTTTTTAAGACTTCCATGGAATAATTATTATTGTACAGTCGTATATATATACATATATATATATATATATATATATATATATAATACTTATTGAAATGAAATGGTTAAAGTGAACTATAAAACATGTACCGCATGTAGCAAAACAGAATTTGAATCATTTAAAATTTTAATATTTAAAAGAATAGATACATTAAAACCGAATAAATAGTTGCCTTTAAAATCTCATGAATCTCATGAATCTCATGAATCTCATGAATCTCATGAATCTCATGAAAAGCCTGCTGGTTCAAGTAAATTTAAATCAAATATATTTTAATTTGAGCGAAAATCAGAAATATATCTGACTGATCGTGTTTGAGCTATTAACTAAACAACAACAACAATAATTATGAAGATTTGAAATAAATAAAAGCTTGTAAAAACGTTTTAAAAAAAAAGACTTTCCACAAAATTCGAGTTAAAACGAACTAAAAAATAAAATAAAGATGAATGACAATTACAATGTCTCATAATGTATTTTGCCAGGAAAGACTGCTCAGAAGTGTCGATGTGCACTATAAGAAGCCATAGGATTCGAATGGAATGTCGACCAAACTTCACTTTTATTTATTTTTAAATGATACTTTTAGAAAATATTTTTTTTTTGCGCAGACTTTAATTGAGTAATGCATTTTTAAAAATTATTTTCTTTCTTTTTTTTAAATCGTTTTTGATAGAAGTCTTTCAAAATAAAATCATTTTACTTTTATTGACTATATTCTAGAATTAACATTTTAACCTTTAAATTATCGAATGCTTATCAAATCCCGGTTCAAGTGACTAAGCTCTTTAAACAAGGCACTAAACTAACAGGTAGATCTGAGCTCATCCGCCCCCCCCCCCCCCAAACCCGTTCATTCAACGAAGTGGTTTTCTGGAATGCTTCTTTTGTCAAGTAATGTTAGTAGATGGGAACATGGGCGCCCGCAGGTAGGGCAGGGGGGGGGGCACTGGTGCCTCCCTCGATTGATTGGATAAAAAAAATTTAGACAAAAATAGACCAAAAAATGTATTAA